CTAACCTAACCTAACCTAACCTAACCAAACCTAACCAGGTCAAACTTGCGCCATGCCACCTTTTCGTGCTTTCCCTTCCTTAATAAAAAAACAGCAATAACAAACTCATAACATAAGCCAACACAAACGAAAAACTTACTTTTGTTTTTTTTTTTCATAAATTAGTTGTTTAGAGCAATAACATTGTCACATTAAAATAAATAATTCTGAGTTAGTAACGTTATATGTTCATAATTATCTCTAATTAACCAAAAAGAGTTTAGATGCAATGTGTACAGTGTGATGAAGAGAGTGCACAGTGTTGGATGGCTATTATGTACACAAAACGGAATAAAAGTAACTTATTTTGTAATACTAATGCTTCAATAACATTTAACTTTGAGATAAATAAATTAAGAATGCACAGGGGCTACAAAAACCGTCTGGCTATTATAAGAAGACTGTTCGATTTATATTTATTAAATGCAAAATTTAAATCAAAAGTCTTCAAACTGAAGAAGGCTACTACATTTTGGAGAAGCTGTAATATGTTTCCTTGCCTCTAGGTAAATAAAAAAAATAATGCTGAAATACAGGATGCCCATACCCATTTCATTTTTACCTACTAAAATTCTCTGTAGGCATATGTCAAGTAGAAAAACATTAACCTACCTTGTCTTTTACTTTAACAAACATTCTGTCAGATATGTGCACCGTGCACATAATTAAAATGAAAAAAATAATAAAACGAACGTAAAAACACCCTGCATACATTCTGAACATTTCACGTCTACTATATGTATGGAAAATGGGAAAATACTAGAAAGTTGTTTTAAAAAACGTTAAATATTTGTTACAAACGTAATAAGTTATAATTAACGTTAGTTTTGATTAATAGTGTACATCAGTAACCTAAATATACTTTGTACATCAATTGTAATATCAGAAACAAAATTAACTGCAGATACCTACATGTAATTTATGTTGGAAAAATTTTGTGATTAAAATTTCAAATTGAATTTACAACGAGCAGGCTATGGTAGTAGTAACAATAGTAACAATATATGTGTACGCAGTAAATGTTCAACATATTTTTTTCACCAATTGCAGTTGCCAGGCAAGAGTAGAATATTTTCAAAAACTTTTTTTGGTTTGATTAACAATAAGTACATAAAATTTTTACTCTGCAAATACCTACCGTTTATTAGCGAATATATATTTTAATTTTTATTTTCAACTTTTGTAACAACATAGCAGTTTAAGTAAATATTTCAAATATCATCTGTCTTTCAAGTCTTACATCTTCCAGTACGTACCAAACCCACTAGGTGGCATCAGAAATGCTAAAGACGTATGTTAGTCATTTAAAAGTTAAAACCATAACCTCCCCCTCCTCTACCGTCGTTCCGCCTGTTATCAGGTGGATAAGGCGGAGACGAAAACCTGTTATAAGGTGTTTGCGGTAAGGGAGGCGGTGCTGCGTACGTGTTATAGTTGTGCGGCACAGGAGGAGGAGCAGCGTAACTAGGATAATTGTGTTGAGGAAGGGGTGGAGCAGGTGCGTAGTTACTGTACCCAGGCTGGGGCATGACACGAGGTACTCCGGGAAGTGGCGGAGCTGAGTAGTTACTGCTATAGTGACTGTAATTACTGCCGCCATAGTTATTACCTCCGTAATTGCTACCTCCGTAATTACTTCCGCCGTAATTACTACCTCCGTAACTGCTTCCCCCGTAATTGCTACCCCCATAATTGCTACCTCCGTAATTACTACCCCCATAATTGCTACCGCCATAAGTACTACCACCGTAGCCGCTCGAACCGTCATGAGAATGAGAATCATTGTAACCGTACTCCATGTTGTTTTTGTGCTCGGAAAAGACCCTGAGCAAGAACTCGCCCTCCTCGTCGGGATCAAAGGTCGAAGGCACTATACAGTAGGTACCAGGTGGAAGCTTAAAACGACAGCTGACTTCTCTCAAGTTTATAAAGGACGGCGATCTCGCCACCGATGCGTTGTATTTGAAAAAGTTTAAGTCTAGAGGTTTAGGCACTCTGTCCGGATAAGGCAACTGAAATTAAAGAAATAATAATATCAGTGAGTTGATATTAAAAAAAAAATAACTAAAAACTAAAGCCACATTCTGCTATGTACTACTATCAGTCCCACTGATTATTATTACTAACTGGTGGTAGAGTGCACGGTAATCAATTAATAAAATTTACTGTGATAATTTATAGTACCACTAACCAATATTACTGATAAAACACACGATATGACTATTGTGTATATAATGGAAATCAATAGTATATGTTGACACAAACATACTAAACGATTCGTTCAACACTAGAGTCATCCAAGACCAAACAAGTACTAGTAGGTAGACAAGCCTCACCACCCAGTTTGTTTAGCAACTTATAGGTTTAAAACGAATAATTTTTAAAAAAAATCAGTATACGTAAATATCCACTCAATATAATAATAAGAAATCAGAGCCAAAACAGGAGCAAAAAGATTTATAACAGTAAAAAGATTTATTAAAATAAACTTGGATTTCTTATTATTGTCATAAACTAAGAGGAAGAAATGGAACATTATCCACTCAGGATTTTTTTATTTTTATGACCATACACATCCGTCGGTCCTATTGAACACTTACATAGTATACGGCAAATCCAACGGTTAACAAATCCACTCCCATAACTCGTTTTGATCTCATATTCTTCTGCATTAAGGCGATAATTACGGTACACTTAGATTCGTCATCCCCTTCGTCCACTTCAGTAAGAGTGATGCGGTACTGCGGATTATGCCAAAATGTCTCTGAAAGTAACATTTATGTGTGTAAGAATAAAATCACGTAGTGAAATACTTATAATATTTAGTTAACATATCAGAACAAAACAGCAAAAGTGGAATGACTTCACCCAAGTAATGTAAATATTAATAAAAAAAATAATTACTGGGTAAAACGACATACTTTTTTTTTGATTTCGCACATGTAGCATAATGTTTTTCAGGTTTGATGTAAAGACTACTAGTTTAATGAACAATATATTCTTTGTGGGGTACACTCGGCCTAAACAGTTCTAAAATTAACAATTAATAAAAAAACAGCAATAACAAACTCATAACATAAGCCAACACAAACGAAAAACTTACTTTTGTTTTTTTTTTTCATAAATTAGTTGTTTAGAGCAATAACATTGTCACATTAAAATAAATAATTCTGAGTTAGTAACGTTATATGTTCATAATTATCTCTAATTAACCAAAAAGAGTTTAGATGCAATGTGTACAGTGTGATGAAGAGAGTGCACAGTGTTGGATGGCTATTATGTACACAAAACGGAATAAAAGTAACTTATTTTGTAATACTAATGCTTCAATAACATTTAACTTTGAGATAAATAAATTAAGAATGCACAGGGGCTACAAAAACCGTCTGGCTATTATAAGAAGACTGTTCGATTTATATTTATTAAATGCAAAATTTAAATCAAAAGTCTTCAAACTGAAGAAGGCTACTACATTTTGGAGAAGCTGTAATATGTTTCCTTGCCTCTAGGTAAATAAAAAAAATAATGCTGAAATACAGGATGCCCATACCCATTTCATTTTTACCTACTAAAATTCTCTGTAGGCATATGTCAAGTAGAAAAACATTAACCTACCTTGTCTTTTACTTTAACAAACATTCTGTCAGATATGTGCACCGTGCACATAATTAAAATGAAAAAAATAATAAAACGAACGTAAAAACACCCTGCATACATTCTGAACATTTCACGTCTACTATATGTATGGAAAATGGGAAAATACTAGAAAGTTGTTTTAAAAAACGTTAAATATTTGTTACAAACGTAATAAGTTATAATTAACGTTAGTTTTGATTAATAGTGTACATCAGTAACCTAAATATACTTTGTACATCAATTGTAATATCAGAAACAAAATTAACTGCAGATACCTACATGTAATTTATGTTGGAAAAATTTTGTGATTAAAATTTCAAATTGAATTTACAACGAGCAGGCTATGGTAGTAGTAACAATAGTAACAATATATGTGTACGCAGTAAATGTTCAACATATTTTTTTCACCAATTGCAGTTGCCAGGCAAGAGTAGAATATTTTCAAAAACTTTTTTTGGTTTGATTAACAATAAGTACATAAAATTTTTACTCTGCAAATACCTACCGTTTATTAGCGAATATATATTTTAATTTTTATTTTCAACTTTTGTAACAACATAGCAGTTTAAGTAAATATTTCAAATATCATCTGTCTTTCAAGTCTTACATCTTCCAGTACGTACCAAACCCACTAGGTGGCATCAGAAATGCTAAAGACGTATGTTAGTCATTTAAAAGTTAAAACCATAACCTCCCCCTCCTCTACCGTCGTTCCGCCTGTTATCAGGTGGATAAGGCGGAGACGAAAACCTGTTATAAGGTGTTTGCGGTAAGGGAGGCGGTGCTGCGTACGTGTTATAGTTGTGCGGCACAGGAGGAGGAGCAGCGTAACTAGGATAATTGTGTTGAGGAAGGGGTGGAGCAGGTGCGTAGTTACTGTACCCAGGCTGGGGCATGACACGAGGTACTCCGGGAAGTGGCGGAGCTGAGTAGTTACTGCTATAGTGACTGTAATTACTGCCGCCATAGTTATTACCTCCGTAATTGCTACCTCCGTAATTACTTCCGCCGTAATTACTACCTCCGTAACTGCTTCCCCCGTAATTGCTACCCCCATAATTGCTACCTCCGTAATTACTACCCCCATAATTGCTACCGCCATAAGTACTACCACCGTAGCCGCTCGAACCGTCATGAGAATGAGAATCATTGTAACCGTACTCCATGTTGTTTTTGTGCTCGGAAAAGACCCTGAGCAAGAACTCGCCCTCCTCGTCGGGATCAAAGGTCGAAGGCACTATACAGTAGGTACCAGGTGGAAGCTTAAAACGACAGCTGACTTCTCTCAAGTTTATAAAGGACGGCGATCTCGCCACCGATGCGTTGTATTTGAAAAAGTTTAAGTCTAGAGGTTTAGGCACTCTGTCCGGATAAGGCAACTGAAATTAAAGAAATAATAATATCAGTGAGTTGATATTAAAAAAAAAATAACTAAAAACTAAAGCCACATTCTGCTATGTACTACTATCAGTCCCACTGATTATTATTACTAACTGGTGGTAGAGTGCACGGTAATCAATTAATAAAATTTACTGTGATAATTTATAGTACCACTAACCAATATTACTGATAAAACACACGATATGACTATTGTGTATATAATGGAAATCAATAGTATATGTTGACACAAACATACTAAACGATTCGTTCAACACTAGAGTCATCCAAGACCAAACAAGTACTAGTAGGTAGACAAGCCTCACCACCCAGTTTGTTTAGCAACTTATAGGTTTAAAACGAATAATTTTTAAAAAAAATCAGTATACGTAAATATCCACTCAATATAATAATAAGAAATCAGAGCCAAAACAGGAGCAAAAAGATTTATAACAGTAAAAAGATTTATTAAAATAAACTTGGATTTCTTGTTATTGTCATAAACTAAGAGGAAGAAATGGAACATTATCCACTCAGGATTTTTTTATTTTTATGACCATACACATCCGTCGGTCCTATTGAACACTTACATAGTATACGGCAAATCCAACGGTTAACAAATCCACTCCCATAACTCGTTTTGATCTCATATTCTTCTGCATTAAGGCGATAATTACGGT